TCGCAACCGCATACGACCTGAACGAAAACTAGTCTATGACCTTTAGACATTGCTCCATCTGATGCACCAACCCCCCCCCCACACCCCACCTTCTAAATCACGACATCTATTCACTCAGCATCCCAGTGCCCCAGATTTGTTAAAGTGTGCTCTCCGATAGTTAGCTGGTCCGTCTCACAGGCACTATACCGCTTACACCAACCCTGCCCGCCCGTAACAACAACAAAAAAGGCCCAAGCGCACGGACAAGTCTCCGGTTCACGTTCCCTCAAAGTCAAGCTTCTTACTCCCTTACCACTCTCATATTCCAGAACAAATCCTCCGGCTCCGTGGAAGAGTTTTGGCAGGACAGACTACGAGAGCTTTTCACGGTTGCCAGTCCCAGGGTTCAACATGCAAGAGGCAGGTCAAAGCGAAACGCACAAACCCTCTCTACCCTACCATTTCGAAACAAAACAATGTCAGCCTGGAAGAAGGGAACAACACCACCTCGCCCATTGCCATGCTACTCCCACGCCACGTGGTGTTGGTAGTACCCTGCCTTCAAAACGTCAGGTGCTGGACCGTAGTGGTCAATGTCTGACTCGGGTTCGGGTTGGGGTTAGGTAGCAGTCCTGTTCCCCAACCACAGCCCGCTACGAAAAATGGCACACTGTAGTTCCGTCAGTTCCCCACCCTGTTTGAGAAATTGGAAAGGAAATAATGTTATAACCTGTCCATGATATAGTCTCATCTAGAGGTTCGTCCCTCGGTGCTTCATTGGCTGATGTGTTAACCCCCTTCCAGTGAAAACCCCGATGTTAACAGATACCTAGCATCTTCCGTAGATCCGATATGGCCTTTCTCACCTGAATCATCTGGTCTTTTCGGTGACTTCCCCTTCCATCAGAAGAGTTGAAAGAGAAAAAAGAGGAAAAAATTGAAAGTGTTTCCCCCCCCCCCCCGGCCCCACCACCACCACCCGCCAAAACCACCCCCCTGTTCGCCAAACCGTTGCGCTAACCTAGGGCCACTAGTTCAAACGGCGTGCGTGCGGAGTCAGTGGAGTGTGTGGGGACAGACAGTTCGTGAGCAGTTGTCCAGGGCCGGGCCTTGCCGAACCTTGCTTGTTGGTGAGGTGGTGATGGGAGGGGGGAACTTTGGATGTGGGAGTTCGGACCAACGGGGTTGGCATGTACTGTGTATGGGCTCTGATAATCAGTTGGGATGGGTGATCTGATAGGAGCGGATTTAGGGACGTCGTGAATTGTATTGTCGAGATATCCGCCCGGCTTTGGTTGATGAGCGGACGGTTCAAACTTGAACCCCAAACTAGGATGTCAAGGACCAGCAAGATATCCACATCGGTACCCATGAAACTTGCGCGTACCAATACCCCCTCCCCGACTGGCGCGTCACTTCTCAGAAAGACATCCCATCGCACATCAAATATGCGGTGTTCTCGGAAGCTGGCCTGGCCGTGTCGATGTCAGAAGGCAAAAAGAAACAGACAGGGGTAGGCAACGCTTCAGATGATAGGTGGTGGTGGTGATGGCCGTCAAGAGACGGGCCATAGGGTGGTGTGGTATGTTTCTAGATAGGTAGTGGTGTGAAGCAGCAACACTGCCCTTACAACGGCAGTTCAGTTCTGGCTCGACCCTGCTCAAATAGGCGAACTGGTCGCCTATGCATACATGGCAGACGTAATACATACAACCAGGTTGCCCGCTCCCCATCTCATTGGAAGCGGGACTTGGCAAGCAGCATGGCAGACATAGCTGCTCCCACCATGTGATGTCGGCACCAAGCAGGCCGTTCTGTCATGTCGTTATATGTATGAGAAGCGAGTATAAAGAGCCCATCCCGCCCCCCCCACCACCATACACCATCGTGTTGCTTGCCCGGACAACCGCCATCCAAGTCCAGACTGATCTCAAAGGAGGGGTTGAACGATGCATTGCTGCAGACTAGAAGCTGTGTGACAGGAACGGCTGGTTTCGATTCGCAAACTGGAGCATCGCAGAGTGTTCGCAACCGAACAGAAAAGATGAACGGGATGAAATGCGTGCATGGCGCGAGAACAACAAGACGAGACCGGGCTGACCCTGCTTGGTCGGCGATGGGTGGTGATCAAGGCTTATCTCTGGCGACACGCCAGGTGGTGCATATGTGCAGTTGACGGAGATAGGTTCCTCTTCCTGCGATGCAGGCTAGGCAGACTGGGAATCGCTCTGAATTCATTCTGCTGGCTATAGTTTGCTTTTTGCTATTGCTCAATTGAGCCCGAAAATGACAGTAGTTCGACCAAGACCAGTTCTGCGCCGCAATCACGCAGGAAGCAACGCCATTCCGTGCCACCCATGTAACCGTAGACTCCCATGTCGACCAGAACTGCAGATTCACACCCTCCACATCAGATGGAAAACCCCAGTGGTATCAATCTTTTGTTGCTCGGGAAAAGAAATAAAGAACAAAGAAAATCGCGTCCATCGCTCCATTGTTGGTTCTGTGTACCCAATCCATGGAGCTCTCTCTTTCATACATCCAGGGGGTTCAAAAGCATTGTTGCTTGCGTTTCCAGTCATGCTCGTTGGCATCCACCACACGTCAAACCAAAGAAAGTTCACACTCTGAGATTCCAAAATCCCAACATACCATCCAAATGCCCAATTGGCCATTGACCGAAATCAGGCTGGGTAAGTCGTCGTCGTTGCACCCCCTTAATATCGCACCTGCATAGGAATGCCCGTCGTGGTCATGACAGGCCGCGGGGTGTCGCTTGTCGTAATTTGGTTGATGTTGATTTGGCTCATTTGAGTCCGGGGGTCCAAGACCTTTTGCCGCAAGGTCCAGTACGATCCAGCGGTGGCATTCGGAACAGCCTCCATGATGATGTATTGGAGCGTTCCCTGGAATGCTTTGGGGACGCAGACCTCGGTGGGCTGTCGCCAGGTTGCAAGAGCCCCGGTGGACTCCGCAGGCTCCATTGCTTCACGGCCCTCGGCCTGTAGACGAAACATGGTTAGTCACATGTAAGAACCACCAAGGACAACTATCAAACTCACAAGACAAGAGCCGCAAGCGTGGCCGTTCATAAACACCCAATTGGGGCAGTTGTAGCTCAAGAAGTACTTGCATCGGTACTTGTTGAATCCGCCAGACATGGTGAAGGTGAGTTTGGTGCGTAAGGTGTGGGTGCTGCTGATTTTGATCCACGAAGGGAGATCTAAGGTGCAATAATAAGATGTGGACTGTCCGCTGACAGCCAAGCGACTTTATAAGTAGAAAGCTCGAGGTGCTTTCTGGGGTGTGTAGCTGAGGAAGGAGATGCCGTGGCTTGTTTTAGGTCTCCGGGGTCGTCTGAACACCTGCAATCATGTGGATGGATAGAGGGAAAAAAGAAAACATGGCCCTCGAGGTTCACGGTAGATTTATATGTTGGATTGAACCATCTCGACGCGCTTTTGTCAACCTCTGACGTGAACAGGGCGCATGGTACGACAAAGTCGACCAGCAGGCCAAGTGATCGGAGAGGTGCCGGCGGTTGGAAAGCCGAGGCGGGATTGACCAGGGGGGGGGGGTCCGATCAGAAACTACGGCCTTCCCTTTACTCAATTATGAGGCCGCCCTCCCTAGACTTTTGCAATACCCCACTCGAACCTCCATTCCTTCATCCCCATTCCCGTCCTTGTACCGTCAAAAATCTTAACATATTAGTGGCTACTTGGAACCCTAATTCATTTTTGGCACTTGGACAGGCCCCATTTTACTTACAGACAGTAATTAATAATC